CCCGAAACCTTATATACCCTAAACCCCAAACCCTAAACCCCAAACCCTATATACCCGAAACCTTATATATCCTAAACCCTAAACCCTGTATACCCTCAGCCCTAAACCCTAAACCCCCCCGGTGCCAGCTCGGCGGCCCAAGGGCCAGGGATGCGGAAGCGGCCGTCGGGGCCGAGGAGATGGGGCCTGGATCTGGATTTGCGTTTTTGTTTTAAATTTAGGGGTCTTGGGGTTTATAGGATTTACGTGTTTTGTTTAATTTATTTTAGGGTTTAGGGTTTAGGTGGTTATAGGATCTTGATTTTTCGTTTTGTTGTATTTTCTTTCAGGGTTTACGGTTTGGGGGTTGATAGGGCTTAGAGGGTTTAGGGGTTTGGGGTTTTTTGGGGTTTAGAGGATTTAGGGTTTAGGGCTTTACAGGGTTTATAGGGTTTAGGGGTTTATAGGATTTTGGGCGTTATAGGGTTTATAGGGTTTTCGGGTTTAGGGATGGAGGGTTAGTCCAAGAGAGCCTGTTAGGCAGGTCTGATTGCACAGCCTCTTACGCGATGCTTCAAAACCCTGGTTTAGGGCTAGGGTTTAACGGTTCTTTGGGTTTAGAGAGCTGTCAAAGCATCACTTCGGATATTGCAACCACATGGATCACGCTGGTTACTAGCGATGTTGGTAGCCATGCTTTTGCTACTCTGGTCTTGTGGTGCCTGCTAACTTTGAGGGGTTGGGGCTTTGGGGCTTCTGCAGGAAAGGTCAACAGTTCGAGACGTAGTCGTGTCAGCGCGTAGGTACCGCGCTACGATGCGATGGCCTGGCTCTTTCAGGGCTCAGTGCTTAGGGCTTCTAAGCTATACCCTAAACCCTAAACCCTAAACCCTAAACCCTAAACCCAGGGTTTATGGTTTAGGGGTAAAGGGCTCAGGTCCCCCAAAACAAGTTCACCGTTGCTTCGATGAATTCCGCGAACCTGGCGGCCGCAAAGCCCAACTTGAAAGAAAGCCCACCTCGAGCCCCCTTTCAGTTATGGATCACTTCAAGGGGTCTGTGCGCAACAACTGGACAAGCGCTTCTTGCGGGTTGAAGCATAATGTAGGATCATTAGAATAGGGTTTTGGGGTATATGATAGTAATAAGGAGCCCCCAAATAGTACATGGTAATTACCAAGGCCCCTACATGATGTACGTGTTCAGGGCTGGCCTTTCGGACAATGGGTGGGGGAAGGTACCTCGACCCCCACCTTTGGCCAGCCGCCCCTTACTTGGAGGATCATGGGACTTAGTAAGTAAGGTTATAAGTCCCCTAATTGGGGTTATCAGTATAGTTACCTTAGTTATAACCCTACTTACTAAGTCTCATGATCCTTTAAGTAGGTCATCCTCGGAAAACCGCACAAACGCTTGTACTTGCTGCATACAGAGGTGGAAAGAATTACATGCCAGGCCCTGTAACAACGTCCACGCTGACTGCATTCACGATCAAGCAATCCAAGCTGCAATCCTCAATTATGTCCACCCTGACCACATCCATGACAAGCAATCCACATCACAGGTCCTATAAGGTGCTGCCAAACGAACGGGGGACAGGGAAGAATATGATATTACACTGTGATACCCTGCGACAGCAAGTTAACCCTCTCTACGACCGCCCTAGAACCCGAACCCAAAGCCAAATGCAGGACCGGCACCTTCCAGCATGGAGGTCGAACACCTGGCGGGATTTGGGGAACTAGGTTGGCCCGGGTAGGGTCTTAGGATTTGGGGCATAGGGTTGAGGATGATGGGATTGGGGCCAGAGCGCAAGGTGTGTAGTGAAGGATGTAGAGATTGCATCGTGTAAAGCAGGTTTTGAACGTATAAACGTTTGCATAAACCCTAAACCCTAGCCGTAGTTTAATGTCCCTAAACTCTAACAGAAACCCGAAATTCTAAACTCCTACTACACCCTAAACCCCACTTCCAAGATCCGGCACCTCGAGTCTCCCAATGTATACTTCAATACAGAATGCCATAAACAATAGTAATAACAGCAATAATAATGACAGATAAACAGACAAATAAACTACAAACAACTATATATATATATATATACACCTATATCTATCTGTATATATATATATATATATGTATTAATAGTACGAAAGAAGAACAATGATATTACATGCTTGCAATATTGAGTACAGATGGTCAACCTCGGCTCGATCCCAAAATCCCCGAGGTCCGAGGCCGATCCCAAACCCTAAGGGCAGAATTCCTTTCCGGGCGTCTACGGCTGAGGGTTTAGGGTTTAGGGTTTAGGGTAAGATCAATGTACATGACCCCAAACCCTAAACCCCTGAACCCTAAACCGATTACATGCTAAGCCCCCATTCCGGAATTAGGGTCTAGGTGCAGGGCTTGGAGTGTCAGGTACGAGTTAACCCCTCTCCCTTTATGAGGACACTTAACATCGCCTCGTGAGCAGCTTCACCATGAATTCCCCACTTCACCGAATATGAGTAGTTCTTTAAACTTGGGGTCCCTTCTTTAGGAACCCGAAAGAAGGCAGCAGCCTTATAACAGGGGCCCTAAAGAGAACCCGAAGCTAGAGAACTACCCATCTGCATGATCCTCCACAGTGGTACAGAAAAGGCCGTTACTGTGCCGGTAAAGAGGTAAAGCAGCAGAACTACACCTATAACCCTCAAGTCAACGAAGGTTCCGGGTCTCTGGATCTTGTGGGTAACACAGATGCCTTAAGGATTAGACCAGGGCTCGGGTTGGGGGGAAACGAATCATCACTACATTACGGAACCCTCCGGAAGAGTCTTGCACTAGTTGAAGTTCCTAACAAAACCGTACGACAAGAAACAACAACAATACACCAAGAGCCCCTATAGAGCAACCCTCTTGTCGCCGGGAGGCATATATCAGCACAGCACGGGATCCACCCGCACCGTCGGTCGGTGGTTGCAGGGCATCGGGTGCATGTTCAAGGCAGTAGAGCCAGAGGCCTTGGTAGGCAGGGTTTAGGGTTGATAGGGTTTAGTATTGTTTCAACAAACAGCCAAGAGTTCAGGGTTTAGGGCCTGGGGTTCAGGGCCAGAGATAACTGAAATATCATGGGCAGCTATCCGTGGCATTGTGAGACCCTGATGTAGCATGCACTTGGAACCACCCTTCTTATTAAACTCCAAGTAGTTTTTGAGTAACTAGGTCTGCACTTCAACTTGAGCGCACTTCGATCAATGTCCTCAGACAAAATCCTTCCGAACAAAGGTGCATTGCTGAGTCGTTAGGCAACGGTGGTTGGCAGTTTCGGATCATTTAGGGTCGCGCGGGGGAGAGGATAAACGGTTGCTGAAGCCTTCAAACGCTTATCCTAAAGCCCTAAAGCCCTAAAGCCCTAAACCCTAAACCCTAAACTCTAAACCCTAGGGTTTAGGGTTTAGGGTTTAGGGTTTTTTTTACCCTACAGCCCTAAAGCCCAAACCAAAGAAAACCATCAGTCTTAAAGTTCCAGCAAGACCGAAATCCTGAGGCAGGGAGGGCTGAGGGGTTTAGGCCATTTTGCCGTACGGCCTCCGCAGGGCTAAATATGCAAGGCAGGGCAATTAGGGTTTAGGGTTTAGGGTTTAGGGTTTAGGGCTTAGGGCTTAGGGTTTAGGGTTTAGGGTCATCACGGTGTAGGGGAACAGGGATTGGGGTCCGTCAGCCGCGGATGACACCAAACCCCTGAAAACTAGAATAAAGCCCTCAAACACCCAAAACCGGAATCCCGAAGTCGCTAAACCCAAAGCCCTGAAAGGGTTTTGGATCTGCCTCCGAGCAGCGACTGACGAAAGATACCAGCAGGTGGAAGATGTTATCCTTCGAGGTAGGGCTTAGGGATGTGGTTTCCCGGTTGAGGGTCAGGGCTTTAAGGTCTAGGGAGTCTAGGGTTTAAGGCTTAAAGTTGAGTGTTTAGGGGTTGAAGACTTAGGGTTTAGGGGTTTAGTTAGGGTTTAGGGTTTAGGGTAGGAAGATGGAAAGCTTAAGATCATGATCGCACCTGGGTCTTCAAGAGCCCTTGCTGGGGAATGATGTAACTGACAATAGAGATCCTTAGACAGGAACCTCGGCTTAATGGTTATTGGAGTCGCTGGTTATCCCTTTCGCAAACATGTGCAATTTCTGTGAGAGCTTCTCGATGTTGTCATTCACTGCAGGCGTCCCTAGAATATTTGCAAACATGTGCACATGTCACGGCATGTGGTGTCCTGTCCCCGATGGAACAGCAAGTGGTAGCAAAGAGTTCAACAACACACATGAAGACACTTACTCTTGGCTGACTTCTGAACTCCTCCAAAAAGTTAAACTTTTAGTCTGCTTATTATGGCTCCTGTAGAAACCCAAAAGGTTAAAGTCCTAAGAGCCAACCAGAAGAACACCAAGCACTCATCTTTGCTCTGGAGTCGACAAGCATGTGACACATAGTAGATCACCACGCTGAACAACACTCTGCTGTGACAAAAGGGCATGTTTCAATGCTACTCATCCGTGGCACTGTGCTTTTACACAAGACGAACCGTCTATGAGGGCATGCAGCACCCTGTCAAAATACCACATGACCTGTAGATGCGAAAAGCCAGGCTTTTTACCGAGTTGCCGTGTCTTGTCCTCAGCAAATCCAGAGTTGAGGGCTTGGGCCCTAAACCCTAAACCCTAAGCCCTGAGCCCTAAATCCTAAACCTTAAACCTTAAATCCTAAACCCTAACCTCTCAACCCCAAAACCTAGACAGTCTGAGCCCTAAACACAAACCCCGCGGGCTTTGAGATTTGAAGATAAAGAGCTTCGCTGGGGTGTGGCCAGACGCGACTCAGGGAAACGGTAGGCTCTACATGAACTCTGCACGGTTTTGTGTTTCAGGCTTTAGGGTCTCAGAGGTACAGAGTTTAGGATAAAGTTTATAGGGTTTAGAAGTTTAGGTGTTCAGTAGTTTGGTCAGCCATTGGTTGGCACAAAGCTACTGCTTCCTCTAAGCTTCGACCTATTGAGCCGAAGGGTGGGAAATTATGAGTCTACTGGAGATCCACTATTCAAGTTCTACCTTAGACCCCAATCTAGACCCTATTCCGGCTCTGGATGGCGGGCTCTGAGTATCTTAAGCTCTCATATCGTATGTAGATGCTTCATAGTTTAGGGTTTAGGGGTTTAGGGTTTAGGGTTTAGGGTCTAGGGCTTTATAGTTTTGGGTTCATGGAGCTTCTATCGTCCATCCATCTATCCATCTGTTTGTCTAGTGCTTGGTTTTTATAAAGTTTGGCATCACACATACAAGACATCCATGTACGAAAGCAGAAAGAGCACATACATATGTAGAAAGGTGCATCTGATCGTACACCCACACATATGACTACAAGAAGAATCCACTTTGTGTGGCCACTGTGACTACCATGCGCTTATGCATGCACCCATGAAGTGGTTTACACAAAGACCGCCAGCAGAAGTGTGAAGGTCAAAAGCCGGTAGCCTACGCATAATGGCAGTACAGGTGCTGAATGGGAGTTTCCAAAAACAAGGGGTACCTTATTTTGGAGTCCTTATAAAAAGGATCCTACTATTTAGGGTACTATATAGGGTCCCCTATTTTCGGAAACCCCAAATATGCACAACCAGAAAGATGCCGCTTGCCCAGGCACCGTTCCAGAGCACCGGAGCGGGCGCCACTGACGCAGCAGCGCGAAGGGCAGCAAACTGCGCCAAAGGGGCCCGGAGCACTCGAAGTGGATTGTGCCTGTTGTCTTCGTCAAGAGAACACTTAGTTGCTGAGTTCATAAGCCCAAAAAAGTGTAAACTTTCAGTTGTATAAAGAATCATATTATCCTAAAAAGTGTAAAGTGTAAAGCGTACTCACTCAGCTACTAAGAACAGGCTGTCTGTGAAGTATCATGCTATGAACAGGTCTAGCGTGGGTCATAGACAGCAGAACTCTGGCAAGCGCATGTTGGGGTACAAACATCAGTCGCTGAGGAATGCTGACAAGATCTCGCTACAGTTCTCTTAGAAGTGGCCGATAATTACTTCCGAGGCACCCGACAACCGAATGAGAAAAGAGTGGTGCAGACTTTGCACCAGGACTCCAGTCATTCCTGGAAAAAGGGAGAATATATATGTGTGTGTATATATATATATACATGTACAGATTGGTTCGTTTATTTTATTCAGGAGCCGTTGATAGTTCTTGTGGCTGCCCTTCTGCTTTTGTAACACTCGATGCATCAACACCCTATCTCCGAATGAGACCTCGCACATGCGACCTAAACCCTAAACCCTAAACCCTAAACGTTTGCAGCCCGAGTTGCCACCAGATTAGCTGCTCTCGCCCCTCGTCTATGTCGTCGACCTTGCATGCAACAACCTGCTAAACCCTAAGTACGAAGTCCTAAACCCTAAACTCAATACCCCATTGTTTAATCCTACATCCTGCCCTAGACCCTGAACTTAGACCTACACAATCCAAGAACCATAAACTTTGAACCAAAAAAACACTGAACAGTGCCGACACCAGCCAACCTGAGTGGCTAAACCCTGTTGCGAATCCTCTAGCAACATGTTGCTGAGGCTTGCTGAAGGAACCCTGGACAACGAAAAGAAACACTCCCTATCTCGAAGCCTTAGGCCCCTCAACGGTTTAGGGTTTAGGGTTGAGGGTTTAGGGCCCCTCCAACACTAAAGTTTAGGGTTTAGGGCTTAGGTTTGTTTTTGTTTGAGCCCTTTTGCTCCAAATCCACTCTCGCGTGTCTGGAAAGAGAATTTAGGGTTTAGGGTTCCAGCACCCTAGCTAGACAGTCGCCAAACCGCTCAACAAGAACCGTGTAATCCCCAAACCTGTACAGACACCAAAACCTGAAGCCCGAAAATCCTGTTGCACCCCAAAACACCGTTAAAAAACAACAAACTGTTTCCGAATCGATATTTAAACATAGACGCCAAATCCCCTAACCCCTGAACCCCCACACCCCAAACTATCCGTAAACCCTAAACCTTCTGTATATATCATATATATATATATATACAAACATACATATACATATATATATATATATATACAGTTATATTTACTTATCTATAGTATACGCATGTACCATATATATATATATACTATATAATCACAGGTATAGACATACATAGACCCCAAATCCGGGATCGTTCGGCCTCTCCGCTCGCCTCGACGAAGCAGCGCCCAGCATCGTCGCAGCTTCGACGCAGGGCTGCCGCCAGGTCTCCCGGTTGGGCATACGGGGTATTCCCTAGGGTCTAGGGTTTAGCGTTTAGGGTTTAGGGGTTTAGGGTTTAGGGTTTAGGGTTTAAAGACACGAAATGGCCCTTAAAAGTAGGGGCCCTGTACCCTTATACTATGAATCCCTGTATGGTACATGAACCTTAAACCCTTTTAGGGTTAAGGTTGGGGCCCAGAACTGGTTTAAGGTTTAGGGTTTACAGTAGGGTTCAGGGTTTAGGGTTATGGCCCATAACTATCACCCTAAACCCTGAACACTACTGTAGACCCTAAACCCTAAACCCTGGTTTAGGATCGCTATAGGGCTTAGGGTTCTCAGGGCGTAGGTTCAGGGACATTTCTGTTCAGGTGTAGGGTTTGGGGCATGTGTGTGTGTGTGTGTGCGCACATCTTCTCTGGTTTTGCAAAGACGGTTTTCATAAAAAGACTTATTTATTTGATTTCAGGTTTAGGGTTTGGGGCTTCTCTGATCTTCTCTGTGTGTGCGCACGCGCGCATCTTCTTGGTTGGCGTTGGGCGTTTGGGCTTGCACCGGTGGTTGAGGTGCGTATGGTTTTGGCTTGCAGAGCTCATTACGATCCCGGGGGCGTTGGAGGCCGGTGAGGTTCTGTTGTGTTTGTGCCTTCACTCCTAGGCTTTAGATTCAAAATCCTGCGACGGTGTGATCGGTCATCTCGGTACTCTGTTCGGGTTATGAGGCGGAGCAAGACGTTGAGTGTTGTTCGACAACGAGGAGCGCTTCTCCCTGGCTTTACAGGCAATAGGAGGTGCGCAGTGCCATGCGCTTGCAAGCTCCGCAATAACGCCTGAAACCTAATATAGGGGCCTGAATATAATTAGAATCGGGTTTGGGGGCCCATTAGACTAGCAAGGAGCCCCCAAATAGTATAGGTAATTATTAAGGCCCCTATGTCACACATTGCTCCCGACGTAGCAACTTGACTCCGGCGACTGGATTGCTAATATAAGGGCCTAACTACCAGATTATTTTGGGGGTTCCTTATTATAATTATAGTATAATATGTATAATATACCCCAAAACCCTGTTCTAATTAATTATTGTGGCCCCTACACCCTCAACCCTCATAGTAGCCCTTATAGAGCCCTTCTACGGAACCCTTTAAAGGAACCCCCCAAAACCCTATTCTAATTATTAAGGCCCCTATATTATATTACATGCAGCAGCCTTTCTCGAGGCGGTCGTAGACTCTGTGAGAGCCCAGCCAGATCAAGTCGCGTTCGAGACGGGACGCAGAGAAGCCTTGGAGGTGCTTGCTTGGAGGATCATGGGACTTAGTAAGTAAGGTTATAAGTCCCCTAATTGGGGTTATAAGTATAGTTACCTTAGTTATAACCCTACTTACTAAGTCTCATGATCCTTTAAGTAAGGTTAGGGTTTAGGGTTCAGGGTTTTGGGTTAGGCACGTTGCTTAAGTTACTAGAGCCCTTCTGCTAGGGTAAGCGCTTTTGTTTAAGTTACCATAATAAGGAGCCCTTCTTTCAAACCAAAGATCAACATAAAAAATGTTTCGGGCTTAGGGTTTGGGGTTCAGGTGGAGCGAGTATTGGGGCTCAGGCTTGGGGCTTTCGGATGTAGAGTTTAGGGGTGAGGGTTTAGGGTTTAGGGTTCTGGGCTTCGGGCTTAGGCTTTTAGGGTTTTAGGGCTTAGGGTTTAGAGGGTTTCGATGGCAGTTTAGGGCCTAAGCTTGCTAGGGCTCTGATGGGTTTAGGGTTGTGGGGTTTACGGGTGTAGGCATTGTAGGCTTGAGGTCGCAGTTCATTGCTTTTCTCGAAGATATAAAGCGAGGATGTCTGGTTCGAGGATGTATAGATGACCTGCTGGCATGCAATTACTCTGTTCAGTTGTCTTCTGTCATGCCTGATCAGTATTGTCACTTGCTAGTATGATGGCAGGTCACTTCTTGCGCTACATGCTCGCGTTAACAAGTTGGGGCTGAGCGCCCTCGATGCCAAACCATGATTTCGATGCCCCCTTAATTAGTCAAGTGGATGTGCCTTTTTCTGGTCATGTCAAGGACCATTGCAAACAAACAACACAACGGCTAGTGTTGCTACAGAACTGAAACCTACCTAGACCCTATATCCTAAACCCAAAGCCGTGAACCCCACACCTTATGTAACCCCAGAAACTTAAACCTTAAATCGATAATTATAGTATAACGTACCCCCAAAACTGAATTCTATAATTATAGTATAATGTACCACCAAAACTTAAATCTACAATTATAGCATCATGTACC